ACGGAACTTACAGAGAAGCACTCGCAGTCATGTCAAACACAGGCGCACTAACCAGAGAAGATTCAAATCAACAGTGAAAAAATACCTTAATAGTCATTTTGCCACCTCTGTATTCATGGTCTTCGTCAGGGTCGAGCGCTGGGCGGAGAGCGAACTCGAATCCATCAATGCTCTTCCAGTCATCAGGCTGACCATCGACGGTGACGAGACCGGGTCGGAAATCCGCCTGAACTCGGATCTCAGATTCCGAGTCGCAGCTCCACTCACCCGACTCCTCGTGCGAGGTAACCCGTCCAAGGATCAACAATACCGAGAGCAAGAGGGGAAGCATTTCACAGGAAGAGATTTTCTTGGTGCGGGTTTTTTGTCTTGCAACTGCTGTTGTTGCGTGTTCCGAGCTATTTGGTCTGCATTCCTAGCCGACTCCCAGCCAATGGAACTAAATTGGTCCTTGACTTCCTCTGCAGACGCAGGCGAAGAATTTTCCATGTAGTTAATTTCTGGTTCATTTTCATTTGGGTACTTTTGAAAACGTTATTCCGTATCAGCACAGAGAAAGCACGTTATCTTTTTTAGGGGAAAAAAAATACTGAATATAATTTTTAAAAATATTAGTTTGAATATTAAAATATTTTAACTATTCCAAGAAAATCCATCCCCAACATAATATATATTTTTTTACCGCAATCATCATCATTAACAATAATAAAATCTAAACTTTTCACAATAACTTTATATATCTCGTTAAATTAATATTATATATTTATATAGTAATAAATTTTATATTAAAAAAATTTATTTCAAAATTATTTTTATTTATTAGTATTTTAGTAAAATTTATTAAATATTATTTTCTTATGTTTATTTTTAATAATTATGTTATTATTTATTATATTTTTAATTTTTTTCAATCGAGTTTAGATTAATTGAGTTAATTAACCTAATTAACTCTTGCTTAATCCATCCATCATCTCATCATGTCGGGTTAAATTATATAAAATCCATCTCAAGTCCGGTAAACAACATGGGATCAACCCATTTTTTGCTAATCACAAATAGATGAAATTTTTATTTAATTTTTAGTTTTTATATTTTATATTACTTTTAACATATATTGTTAAAATAGTTTATAATATTTTTTAAAATTAATATTAATAATTGGACGTGAAAGTTGAGTTCTCACGGACCCAAATATAACAAATAATATTATAGTTATACGTGCTAAAATTATAATCAAAATTAAAATTATTAATAATGTTCCATTTTAAAAATAATAAAAAATAAAAAATATTTAATTAAAACATGAAAATATTATTAACTTCATCTTATTTACTTTTGGAGACGAAATGGATGAAGAAAAAAAACTTTCGAACAAAAAAAAAAGGCCCAATAACCTTAAAAAAATTGAATAAGAAGCCGCATGAAGTGAAAATCTTATGAATGATTATATAAAGTGATAATAAATATGATTTATTTGTTAATTTTTTTATTATTATTTTTAAAAATTGAAATTTATTTTACTTAAAATTAATAAAATATAATTAATTTATGAATTTAAAATCACTGTTTATGTACTCGGTATTGACCATAATTCACGAAAACATTATGTAGTTTTAATAAGAGAGATAATGGTTAAGAATTTTAAATAGAAAAATGCTTTAAAGTTTGTTGAATAATTGGTAAATATTAAATTAATTACACGTGAGTTTTAGATTTTTTATCACTATGTCCATTTTGGCAAACCAATAATAATAAATGGGCCGGATTGAACTCACGTGTCTTGCCCAACATACTACGAAACCCATAAACCAACGGTTTTCTTTTTTTAAATTACTTTAATTTTAATTTTATTTATTTATTTATTTTTATTTTGGTTTTACTGCGAAGTTTTTGTACACAGTTGGCGAACTAAGCTTTGGTTCGGCACTCCGCATTCAAACCCATAAACCCTCGCGCCGGCCCGACTGGAGTGAGAAGTGTCAGGCCAGAGTAAGTTTGATAGTTTATTATATAAAAATTTGATGTGAGGTATCAGATCCAGTCTCCCTCAACAGTCTGCTCAGCCTTCAAGTGCCAAGAACAGATTACGAAGAATGGCGATTAGAGAACGTTTAATTTGGTTTATTAATTGCAATTTATTCACTTTCGGCTGCTGTGCCGATCTATAACGGTTGTGTGGCTCGTCGAGGTAAATATTGGCTTCTTGTTCATTGACATGCTGTTATCTATTTGATTGCCCAGAAATGTAGGAAAAGGAACGAAAATGCATTTACAGTTTTTGTTTTTCCGCTGATAGTGTGGAAGCTCCTAACGATGTCAATGGATCTGGATTTCTGAATCTAATTTTTTAGTTTACTTGCACTTTCTGGTTGGATTAAAATCTACGGTACTGTGCACTGTACCGAAAGTTTCACCGTTGTTGCTGAATAATCATGGATTAATCATGTGTAGGCGAGCTCATCGCTGATCAAGTCGAGGAAGCCAGCTGATAGAAAATTGGATTATTCTCACATCACGGTACGAATTTTCACGGCAGGATGTATTTGAGTGGTGAATAGACTGATAATTCACTGTGCGTACTGTGTTTGTTTATTGATTTCATCGGCTAAAGCCAAAAACTAAGAATTACCTCTGTGCGCATGGAACTTGCTCATTACTGTTAGGTGTGTTTGCTCATCCATTTTTTTGCTTTGTCAAACTACAAGGTTGAGCTTCAAACAGTAGATGGATTGGTAAAAGACAGAACTCAGTGTGCTCCTAATGGCTACTATTTTCTTCCAGTTTATGACAAGGTAAATTTTTATTCTACTCTAAGTTCAAGAAACTTGCATGAATCTGAAGATGTTGTGCTGGTTTTCCCTTTTGGAAGAATTATGACATGGTTCCGGGTTTTCCTTTTATTGATATGGTTGCTGTTTTGCGTGATATCTTACTGAAAAACTTAATCTTTTATTTTATGAGTGAGGTCATTGGAAAATGGTATCCAAACTATTACTATGGTTGACGTCATAACTTGGATAAATTTCTCATGAAATGTTGCTGGAGACTTTTCAATTGGGGATAGTAGTGCGGTGAATAATCTAGTATACTAGTTGATTGCTAAAATTACAACAGTGGTAAATCGGATGATTCATTGTCAAAATACTCTGAATGAGATCAAATGTTAAGACATGGTTGGGTAATTCTGAAACTGCAATCACATGGTGGCTTAGTCACCCTCTTCTTCCTGTCATTTAAGGTAAGAGGATGACAGTGGTGTATGGTCCATTCCTTAAAAACTATTTCTAAGTTATTGATTTTTTGAATTCGACTTAAATACAATCCCCTTCTCTATCTTGTTGTTTCTGGTATGCAAGTACTCTCTGATTTATGGTACGATCCCCTTCTTTATTTCTTCAGCTAATTGTCATTTTGCTTTACAGGGTTCCTTTGTAATCAAAATCAATGGACCTGCAGGATGGGCATGGGACCCAGAGAAGGTTCTTTAGTTTCATTATTATTTTAATAAGTTTCTTCAGCATTGTGCATTTTTTTTTTGTTTTATGTGTCTTTGGACATAAACCTAATGCCAGATTGTATGCTGTAGGTTCCCGTTGTTGTTGATGACAGTGGTTGCAATGGCAATGAGGACATTAATTTTCGGTTCACGGGGTTTGTCTGAAAATTCCATGTTATATTGTGTCATTTGATAATCTCATTTAGTTCCATTGAAGTTGTGCTTATTCTTGTACGAAATGTAAGTGTTATTTGTTTTCCCTGCATTGCAGATTTACCATAAGTGGAAGAGTTGTTGGAGCTGTTGGTGGATCGAGTTGTCCACTAAAAGATGGTGGACCCTCCAATGTGAATGTCGAACTCTTGTCTCTTACTGATGATCTTATCTCTTCTGTTTTAACATCATCTAAGGGGAGTTACCTGTTCAAAAATATTGTTCCTGGTAAGGAAGTTCTTTTGTTTTGATTTTATTCATAATTCTTAGTGCAGCTATAATTTGTGGATCACATATTTTAAAAAATTGGGTTTTGCATGCTTAATCAAACGATACTTTTATATGGGATTGGAGTGTGTATTTAGCAGTGATTTCACCTAAAATGTTAAAGTTGTGCTTTTCTGTCAAAAGAGCTTGTTCATTGCTAGGGAATCAAACCAGTGATAAACTGCCTTTATGTGGATATGTAAGAGTTGGTCTAAATATGCTCTTGTGCAAATAAGTGGTTCAGTTTTTTCCTAGTTAATCTGGGGTTTTTTTTTCAGAGAGGTGAAAATATCTTTGTATATGGGTGGTTTTCCCCTTAAAAATGTGGTTCATTTCTTTTCATAGTTTTGTTTTTTTAAATAAAAGTATGAATTGTATTAATTACATACCACCAAGCGGGTAAAAAACCTATGTACAAAAGACTTTTTATATCAATTAGTGTGTTAATAAATTCTCCTAGGTTCTCCATTGAATACAGCTGTTATCTCATAATCAAAATACTAAGTGTTTGGAACAAATTTTGTTTTTCTAGTTCTGGTCATCCTCTTTCTTTCGAGGAGTGTTAAAGCGACCTAATCGACACTTTGTTAATTTGTAATATTCTCTTCTTTTGCACATGGGCCATACCTCATTGGTGTCTTGTTTCTTAAATTCTTTTTCTTTTCATTTTTTTCAGTTGCAATGTGTTTGTCTATGACCATTCCCATGCACTGACTTCTGTATTAAGTGGTTAAAGTGAAGTTATTGTCGGTGACACCTTACATCCACTTTAACATGTTTATTCATGGTTATGCAGTTTCTTCTGTTTATGAGGTCCCATGAATTGTGTTTAATGAAGTAATTTCGCATGGCACCTCATAAACTGGATAGTACTTGTTTGATGGATACAGACACTTAAATTAATCACAACAAGTTTCTTGAATTTAGTTTAAAGACCATATAATAAGATATATGCATATATATATGTATATATGCATCATGTTTTGAATGGAAAGCTTCCCATCCTAACATTATCCTTCTCTGGATGCAGGGAGATATAAAATACGTGCTTCCCATCCTAACTTGAAAGTTGAAGTTAGAGGCTCCACAGAGGTTTAATGCTTTTTTTTTCTTTTAGGTTTTCTTTTTCTTTTTCCCTTTCTTAATTTTAATCTGCTTCTCATTTCCCACATTCTCTCAACCCCTTTTTGCACTAATTATTGTGTCTTTTTCTGTTCGATTTAACTATTATTAGAACGTGCACAATTGTTTAATAAATATGTATTTTTC